TTTAGAAACATACTATGTAAAGTATGGAACTCACAATCATGCTAATTGAGGCCATAATGAGTAGAAGGGATAAAAGATAGGGGGAATTGTCTAAAAGAAAAATAATTAAGACACTCACTAACCAGCTGTGTAGTCACTTAGATGATGCATTAGGATATCATGTAGAACTTTATTAATGATTTGACCTAGATGGAATCTCTGTCCATTTTACTTGAGTGAGAAAGTGCATATCGGAACCTTAGGTAAAAATTCTAGTTTTATGCCCTATTTGGTTTGAAGAAAAACTGGGTGGATGAAAATTGGTGGAAGGAAAGATGGGTGGATGGAAAAAATTTCCACTATTTAGTAACAAATGAGAGTATAAGGGAAAGGAAAACTGGAGGGAGAACATTTCCCTCCATCCATCAATTTATTTTCCATCCACAGGTGGGCAAAAATTGAGAAGGAAAAGAGGGATAATATGGTTTTTAAGATAAGTTTACTTTTTATTCTCTTGAATATATTCTAAATAATGTATTGAACTAGTACACTATTCACTATTTAAGGGTAGAATTGTAAATTGGCCATGCATGTGTTTTCCATTCCTTTCAATTTTCATCAAATACCAAACGATAAAAAATATATTCCTCATACTTTCCGTCCCTCCTACCAAACAAAAAGGAGGGAAAATAGTTTTCTTTCATTAAAGGATAGAAAATTTATCTCTATCACTTTTCATTCCTTCTTTCTTTTCATCCTTCGTACCAAACGGGTCATTAGAATTTTTCAAGTTTTCACAATTCTACTTTTTTGTCAATCTCTCAAATTGGAGCTCTAATCGAGGTGCCATCTTTTTCTATAAGTATTTATCCCCAAGAAGTACCTCTTTGGTCCGTTTTCATGACAAACTGAGTAAGAACGTGTCGATCAGACATTTATGTCAAAATTCTAGTTTTAGAAATTTCTAAGTTTTCACAATTCTAGTTTTTCTTCAATCTCCCAAATTGGGGCTCAGATAGGGAAGCAATCATTTTCTATAAGTTTCTATTCCTAAGAAATTTCTCGAAGTTTGGTTTTATGGCAAACAGAGCGAGAACAGGTCGATCGAACCCTTAGGTTGAAATTCTAGTTTTGGAAATTTCTATGTTTTCACAGTTCTATTTTTTTGTCGTTCTCTCAAACTGGGGCCATACCAAGACGCCGTCAATCTTTATAAATTTTTATCTTTGGGAAGTACCTCTCAGTCTATTTTCATAGAAAACAAAACGAGAACGGGTCGATTAGACCTTGAGGTCATAATTCTAATTTTATAAGTTTTAACAATTCTACTGTTTCATCAATCTCTCAAACCCGGGCTTGGATTGAGACGCCGTGTTTTTCGATAAGTGTCTTTCCTCGAGAAGTATATCTTTGTCCATTATGTTTGAGCGAGAAAGGGCATATCGAAACCTTAGGTAAAAATTCTAGTTTTATGACTTGTTTAGTTTGAAGGAAAGTCGGGTGGACGAAAATTGGTGGAAGGAAAGTTGGGTGGATGGAAAAAAATTTCACTTTTGGTAACAAAGAAGAATATTAAGGGAAAGGAAAACTGGAGAGAGAACATTTCCCTCCATCCCACAATTTTTTTTCCACCCACAAGTGGGCAAAAATTGAGAAAGAAAAGTGGGACAATATGCATATTTGTTAAGATAAGTGTACTTTTTATTCCCTTCAATGTATTCTAATTAACATATATATTGCACCAATACACTATTCACTATTTAAGGGAAGAAATGTAAATTGGTCATATATGTTTTTCCTTTCCTTTCATTTTTCATCCAGCATCAAAAGATGGAAAATATATACCTCATACCCACCCAACAAAAAGGAGGAAAATATTTTTCTTTCATTCAATGATAGAAAAATTATTCTTTTCACTTTTTCTTCTTTCCTATTTTCCCTCATATAAAATAGACCATTAGAATTTTTCAAGTTTTCACAATTCTACTTTTTTGTCAATCTCTCAAACTAAAGCTCTGATTGAGGCACCATCCGTTTCTATAAGTTTTTATCCCCAAGAAGTACTTCTCGATCCGTTTTCACGACAAATTGAGCAAGAACGAGGTCGAAATTCTAGTTTTAGAAATTTGTAAGTTTTCACAATTCTAGTTTTTCCTCAATCTCCCAAACTGGGGATCGTATCAGGATGTTGTCATTTTCTATAAGTTCCTATTCCTAAGAAGTTTCTCGAAGTTTGGTTTTACGGCAAACGGAGCGAGAATGGCCCGATCGGACCCCTAGGTCGAAATTCTAATTTTTGAAATTTTTATATTTTTACAATTCTATTTTTTTTCATTCTCTCAAACTATGCGCATCAAGACGTTGTCAATTTTTATAAGATTTTATCTTTGAGTAGTACCTCTCGATCTGTTTTCACGGGAAATAGAACGAGAACAGGCCGATCAGACCCTTAGGTCATAATTCTAATTTTAAAATTTTTTTAAGTTTTCACAATTCTTCTTTTTTATCAATCTCTCAAACCCATGCTCAGATCAATATGCCACCTTTTTTAGTAAGTTTCCATCCTAGAGAAGTATATCTCTCTCCATTTTGCTTGCACAAGAAAGGGCATATCGGAACCTTAGGTCAAAATTCTAGTTTTATGCCCTATTTGGTTTGAAGGAAAGTTAGGTGGATGGAAATTAGTGAAAGGAAAGTTGGGTAGATGGAAAGATTTGTCACTGTTTGGTATCAAAGGAAAGTATAAGGGAAAGGAAAAACATTTACCTCCATCCCACAATTTTTTTTTCCACCCACAAGTGGGCGAAAATTGAGAAGGAAAAGTGGGACAATATACTTTTTAAGATAAGTTTACTTTTTATTCTCTCAAATATATTCTAATTTATATATATTGCACCAATACACTATTCCCAATTAAGGGAGGAAATGTAAATTGGCCATGCATGTTTTTCTTTTCCTTTCATTTTTCATCCAATATGAAAAGATGAAAAATATATTCCTCATACTTTCCATCCATCCCACTCAACAAAAAGGAGGAAAAATAGTTTTCTTTCATTCAATGATAGACAGTTTATTCTTTTCACTTTTCCTTTCTTCCTTCTTTCCATTATTGGTACAAAATTGACCATTAGAATTTTTCAAGTTTTTAATATTCTACTTTTTTGTCAATCTCTCAAATCGGTGATCTAATCAAGGTGACGTCTTTTCTATTAGTTTTTATCCCCAAGAAGTACCTCCTGGACGCTCTTTTTCATGACAAACTGAGCTAAAATGGGCCGATTAGACCTTTTGGACGAAATTCTAGTTGTAAGAAATTTCAAAGTTTTCACAATTCTAGTTTTTTCTTAATTTCTCAAAACAAGGCTCGGATTGGGATCCCGTCATTTACTATAAGTTTCTATCCCTGAGAAGTTTTTTGAAGTCTGGTTTTACGACAAACAGAGCAAGAATGGGCCAATTAGACCCTTAGGTCGAAATTCTAGTTTTGAAAATTTCTATGATTTCACAATTCTATTTCTTTTTGTCATTCTCTGAAATCGGAACCACATCAAGATGCCGTCAATTTTTATTAGTTTCTACCACTGAGAAGTAATTCTTGGCCTGTTTTCAAAAGAAACAGAACGAGAACTGGTCGATCAGACCCTTAAGACATAATTCTAATTTTAAAAATTTCAAAGTTCTAACAATCTTACTTTTTCATCAATCTCACAAACCCAAGCTCGAATCGAGACATCATTTTTTTTTCGATAAGTTTTTATTCCCAAGAAACATATATCTATCTTTTTTGCTTGAGCGAGAAAGGGCATATCAGAACCTTAGGTCAAAATTCTAGTTTTATGCCTTGTTTGGTTTGAAGGAATATTGGGTGGAAGAAAAGTAGGGTGGATGAAAATATTTTTCACTGTTTAGTATCAAGGGAAAGTACAAGGGGAAGGAAAACTAGAGGGAGAATATTTCCCTCCATCCCACAATTTTTTCTCACCCACAAGTGGGCGAAAATTGAGAAAGAAAAGTGGGATAATATGCTTTTTAAGATAAGTTTACTTTTTATTCCCTTCATCTAATACCAAACACCAAACGATGAAAAATATATATTTCTTACTCTCCATCACACCTACCAAACATAAAAGAGAAAATAATTTTCTTTCATTCAAGGATATAAAGTTTATCCCTTTCACTTTTTCTTCTTTACTTATTTTCATCAAACGGGCCATTACATTTTTAGAACATGTGTTTTTTTTGGTTTTTCAACTGTTTATCGTAAGGCACTCATCATCTACAAGAAGAGCAAAGACATCAAACTTCACTATATCAAAATTGTATTATTTTACGCCATTTAGAACATTTCATGATCTGTTATAATATTTTATGATCGGTTACAACCTTATAACCGATCATAAAAATATTGTGATTGATCATGAATTAACTCAATCAGTTTTTTTTTTCCCTCTCTCTCTCTACCAGCCCTTGAACCCACAACCAGGTGGTTGGAATTTGGGGTCAACAACCACCGAGAAATCCACCAGAGGAATCCATAAATACTCTTTCATTAAAGAAGAATCACCTTTTGAAACCTAAAGGTTTTTCCTCCAGCAGAGACAATTAGCAGGATCAAAAAAGAACACATGCAAACCCAGCTGCCATATGGCCAGTGAAGGCAAAGCTACCACACCCTGACACTCGTTTCGAATGTGTGCACTGTCACGAGCATTAATCCACACAGGCATCGCCATACCTAAAAAGAGACACAAAACAAAAAAGAAGACACTGCAAAACAGATCCAGTTCTTTACACTTTTTTACGATAATTTAATGAAAGTAAGGTCAGAACGCAATTGGCAAATGCAACCCCTCCCAACACAAAAAGAAAAACAAAAATAGTCTTTCCCGAAAGAAAACTGAAGATGATAAAACAAAAAGGGCTGTGAACAAATAAATCTCAGAATTCACACTTGAAATACTAATTGAATTAGGAAGATGGTTGTATTCAACCTCGAGAGAACATTACATATACATGGTAATTTACTTTCCAATTCTAAGTTCCTTTGAGATGTCCCTTGTCAGGCTGAATTGCAACATGTTATGCCATGGGAATAATGTTCGAGTAACTGGGAGCTTCCTTCGGAGGTCCTGCAACGTAATCACATGCTATAATGGTTACAGACAAATGAATTTACATATATGCACTGTGATGAAGTGCATCTGCCAAACTATCAAAGTCAAGGTCATGATGAAGAAATTATGGGATTGAGAGTGGTGAATATGTCAAGACCTTAATTAGTATGGTATCAATGCAACTATTCATAGTTTGATTTATGCTGCTTCCACAGGATTTTTTTTTTTTTCTTTTTTTGGGACTCCTAGTCAAACGTGATTCCATGCAAGAGTAAATTTAACCTATCAAGAATCTTGTACGATGAAGTGATAGTAATTGACTAATGTCTACTCAGTGAAAACCTGCTTCCTTTCCACCAGATGACCCATAAATCGGTATTTACAAAGTGAAAAGACATCTAATCCTAGCCCTCCAAATCTGCCCGGTAGAAACAGGAAATATCAGTAGGATGACATGTTACATCCTAGGTTATGGCAATACCTTGAAGTACTAACAATTTAAACTGTAGTAACATAAGCGACCTAATGCCTTACATGTTTTTGGATTTTAATTTCAAATACGATAAAAAACAACTCACAAACCTAACCTCATTCTTCTATACCAAATTAAAAAGTCAATTTCATGCAAATTTTCCAGAAAAAATTGAGCTCCAGAGAATACCTTGAAAGTGGTATCTGGCAAATTTATATAGGATGCCTGCCAATATGTACCTGTCAGTACTTGGTCCTATTTCCTTTATTCAACAAAAGAATAAATTGCTTTGAAGATCACACTAACACAACTTCATAAACACAACCTGAAGTGAAGCCAGGTACTCCGTCTCATGGTGCCGAATAATGTTGGTCAAGGAAACAGCACAATCATCAGGGGACTGAATCAAAACAACAATTAGTGTCCACACAAGCACATAATGCACTGAGTAGCATATCGTAGTACAGACTATGCACAAATGAATGAGTTCAGGGTGAATCAGACACAGGATCCTTTGACCACAATGCTAAAAATATTTTTACTTTTCCCTATATATTACTTTCTTGGGCATCAAAATTTAAACTGTTACATGGGCTCTTGAAACTTACATATTAATATTGCAAATGCCTGGCAAATTTTAAAGTTTGCATATCTTTTCAGATCTGTAAAAGTACAAGTCTGTTTTAGAAGAAACTAGGTAAAAAACATGTCTGTCGTGTTCCCTACATATTTTATAAGATTTTTTAACAAATGCTTCTATTTGCCAGAATAACTTAAGAAAAGAAATCAACTTCCAAAAGAAAAAACACTTATTAGGATAACTCTCATTTGGATGAAGTTGAAATACTCAGAGTGAGCAATGCTATCATTGTGCTTCTACGGAAGTATTCTGGCCACAGCCAGTACCATGTTGTTGGCACACAATCCACAATGTACTTCAGATGCCTTTACATTGAGGTACTCATGAAGGAATTTCTAGTTCAGTCAGTCTAAACATCAAATTCTAAATGTCCAAAAAGTGATTAAAAGGCAACAAGAATATATTATGTTCCATGATGATCTACTAACCTGAAATATTGAATAATCCTTGCATTCATGTTTTGCATCTAACTGAACATTTCCTTCTTCAAAGTAATGAGCTCCTACCTAAACAAAGAAGCAAAACACATTAGCATCAGTGTTAGTTACAATTTATCCATGCATATGGATTCACTCTTGACTATGCAGTCAAAATCATTGTTATTTAGGGCGTAAGGTGATCCCAGACACTAGGGTCTCCCCGGCCTTGGCGAGCGGATGAGGAGAAAATAATAATCACACGCAAGTACTTATCGTTGACAAATCTTTCAATCAAGGCAATAAACTACAATTCACAAACTAAGCATCCACAAAATAAACTTTAAATCCCAACAAACACCAATACTATCTAACACTCCAAAACATATAAGTCAAACTGTCAAAGCAACTAAATATTCAGTCCACGCTTACACCAATCCTAAGCCCCTAAAAATCATTTTCATCGCGAAGCCCATCAGCTTCTTCATCATTTGACTTATATCACTCCATCTCTTCCTCCTTTGTCTCATTTGAAACTGATTATTCCTGATTTGTGTTTGGAAGTGTTGCTGATGATCTTATACTGAATAGAAGCCAATTCCCCCAGTGAAGCACTCTGGTTCGAAATGGGCCGCTCTCTAGCTAGGATCTGATTTGCTATGTCCTCATTCCATCGGTGGAGAATAAGGTCCCTATCCCACTCGTCGGTTTATCTATTTATGATTGAGCTATCCAAAAATCATCATCATCGAACAAAATCTCATCATCTTCATCTGATTTTCCATCAATCCTCCCAAACAACCACTCATTGGTTCATCACTTTTCTATAACGAGATGGGATCAGTTGTGCCACATGAAGCATATCAACATATCAAAGCTAGATTTAAAATATTTATGCCAAGCTAAAAAAAATAGAGAGAAAAAAAAAGAGTGCTTCTGCGCCTTATACTTGATCTCCGAGGAGCATGCCTTTTGGACATCAACTACTTGTCACGGAAGTAGCCCCTCCTGAGGCCAAATGAGGCGTAAAGGATGAGTCTGGAGTCCCCTTGAGTCTAGGTACATGCCTAGGAATGATTTTTATAACAAAGTATAACAAAATGATGCAATCAAGTTCCAAAATCCTACTGTTATGGGTTACAAAATTAACTATGCATACCTGCATTTTACCTCTTACTTCCACAGTTTGTACATCATCCTTAAAAACAATGTTCCATATTGAGCGCCAACTTCCATTGCTACAAAATATAACACAAAATTGCAATAATAAAGGTACTGGTAATGAAAAGTGAAGATCAAGCACGTCATATAGAGTATCATTATGACCTCACACAATCATAGTTTTTAATGCAACAAATCTGTGCTTATCGTTTTGATAAGTAAATGAATGGAGCAAGTTATAACTGTTACATTGTTACTACTTGTTTGGATTTGCACTATGGTGAAGTTTCCAAAACTAGGTAACTTTACCTATGTAGTTTCATGCAACCTTGTTAAAACAATGTAACATAAATATCTACTCTAGGAATGGAATATCTAAGAAAGTATTTTTGCCATTTTACTTCAGAACTATCAAACAATAAAACCGCTTGTATTAGCATATCAATGTAAAGTTGCAAGCAGGAGGATAAGGGATTTGGAATCCTGCTGATCAATTAGACTAATCATCACTGCTACTTTTTCCTTAATGACGTACCTTTTTTCCATTGAGTTTGGTACACCAAACCCCCTCCCAACCACCCAAGCAAAGAAGTGTTTCTATTACTTGACAATAAAACTTCACTAGGTTAAAAAGAAAAAGCGACACTGCTAGTGGATTTGAATTGAAAGCCTTTTTTCAGCCTCATTAATAATTCCAAATTAGAAATTAAATGCATCACTCACAACATCAAGTGGTGCTGGTCAAGATAATTCCAAGGGGAATGACAGCTATCATTTAGAGATACAAACTTTCAACTTTGTAACGAGGAAAAAATCATGACTGCAGATTTATCTATGATAAAATTTTTGTGATGCCAAATAAGCTGAATAATAATAACCACTTCATATTCTTCAGATATAACCAATACATTACATTAATTACGTGTTCACTTTTTTAACTATAACATCCAGCCACATAAAGATTTCTGAATACTTTTCACTACAACCTTATTTCCATTTTGAGTTCATGAGTAGCAATCAAGTTTTACATAAACTAATAGTAGCAAACTCCAAGGCAAAGCAGTATAAAATAAAGTCAATAAGACAGCTCCACGTCGCCAAAGGCTAATGTTACCTCAGAATATGACATCAGGAATACTGGATACTGACTTCGCAATATCAACAATCATAGAGAAAAGCTAATCATATTCATTGATTCGTCTTCACCTTCCTGCTTCTAATATTTATAAATCAGTCTGATTTATGTCCAACTACTCCTTTAACTTCCTTTCTTCTCCTTCCAAAACACCTGCTTGCTTCTCCTCTGCTATTGGCTTCATAAAACTAGCTACTTCCAATCAAGAAGATGAGTTCTTATATTTCAGGCCAATAGCCCATCACAACTAAGTTTAGCACTTGCTTCTTTAAGATCTGGCAGCCAACCCCTTTCCCAGATACCATTGAACCTTCATAAACAATAGAGCATGCCGGTGGATCAACAGTTTTGGCTTGCATTATAAATTGGAGGAATCACAATGCTGCACATAATTTGTATAGCTGACATTTGATGGCACTAAAAATCCATAGAATATAGAAAAAAAAAAATGTTGAGTTGGTTGTTTTCCCTCTTACTAGGAAAATATGATCAGGGTTTGGGTAATATGGCTTCAATATATGTTACTGGAACATCTTATCAAGTGTGCATTGTGGGAATATTAGATTAGGATAAGTATAGCCAATTTACAGTTACATTGTACACCTTGCGTAGATTGCTGTTTAATTTTATCCTTGTTATCAAGTGACCATTTCTGAGTCCCATCTGACAAATAGTTCCAAGGAGATTCTGAGTACTGCTGTTTCAAACGCACAAGCACCTAGGAAGTTTGAATTTGGAGGAATTGATGCAACCTAAAACTTGAAATGACTTGCACTAGACAAGATGCAGATTCAATGATCCCATGCAGACTAAAGAATGACATGCACAATGAACATGACCTATTTTTGACCCGGGAGAACCATCTCGACCACGCACCCTTTGAACTCGTGGTTATGACGCAAACTTTAAATGCACTCAATTAATCACAAACCTCATGCATTAAGGCTCTCTTGCAAGAATCAAACTTGGGACCTCGAGCTAGTAACCCTTGAGGTCTTCCCATACTAAATGCTATAACGGGAAGAACACGGTCTTTATCACCTAGTCTTTTTGTCTTCTCTGTATTTAAATGCTTCTAATTATCTTGAAGTTGACATTGCCAAGTGGCAAGAACTAAGAAATGGCTGATAAATTTTAGGAGACCACACTTAACCTATCACTTCTCTTGATTACTTCAGACTAGACATTGGGATCAAATTTTAGCTTCTTAGAGCAGTGAATCTCCGACAAAATGATTCATTCTAGCTGTCAATATAAAGCAGATCTAATTTCTCAAGACCTAACACTGGTAGTTCACAACATAACCCTAACTTTGATGTCAACTGCATTCAACCAAGAGGAATTAACCTCTTCCAAGCAGCTCCAATCTTTGGGGCCATCATTCCTCAAAGATTTGTATGCAATTCATCAAAAGAATATCACGCCTGTTAGCTCTTTTTTGGACCAATCAGGAAATTATATATGCACCATTCAAAAAACAAAAGTCAAACAGAAAATGTAAGAATTCAATACATATCAGACTACCAAGTTGAATAGTATCTAAGTATTAAATGATAAAGTAAACATTTAAAAAGGAGCACATACAATAGCTAAGAATGTAATTTGACTGATTTAACACACCAGAAGTTTTGCGGGCTATGTCGAGTAGCTAAAATCACCACAACTAGCTCAAAATCCGATCCTGGCTCTTCCACGTCTTTTCCACTAGTACAGTAAACTGAAGAAACACCTTTTGGATAAGCTTCACCAACATATTTGATAGTTTCTGCATCCAATGCACATCTGCCCAGCAGTTCATGGAAAGGAATACGATATCAGGGTAGCTACATGCACCACTTTCGACCAGAAAAGGAAGAACAATTACAAAAACACAACATGCAAGTATGCAACACTGCCAATCACAGTCCACCAAGCTAACCAATCAACCAGCTCTTAGAGGCAGGCAGAAATAGGAACTGATGCTTGCTTCTTTGTTTTTTTTTTTTTTTTTCTTTCTCTTTTCCCCAGTTTTTTTGTTTTGCACATTTGGGATTTTTTTTTGTTTGGGGGGGGAGGGTGCTTCTTACTCCTCCATTGATTTCTCAGGAGATATGACTATATGAGATCTGGGAAAAGTTGAGTCTCAATCACCATAGTGCATCAAACATGCAGGCAGTCAAAGACCTTGCATTTGCATGGCTTACTGGTGTGAGTGTCCATCGCAGCATCATTGTGCCTATGACTAATCTTCTATCCACTAATGGAGCGCAGTGATGATGATGATAGAGATAATATTTGGCAAAACTGACTCACTACAGTTGCTGCATAACTTGCAGATATAGAGGATGGAAGGAAACCATGTCAAGTCAGACAGCAACAATTTGATGCCCAACAACTCAAATATCTTAATCACACCATGATATAGCATCTCCGCCTAGTAAGGTGACTTAACTAATCATTACTCATTACATCATTTAGTCTCCATTATTTAAGGGTGCTAGGAGGGGCAGACCTAATGTTTGGCACTATTTGCACAAAGTGACAGCTCTCAAATTCGAACCTACAAGCTCAAGGTTGTTAGCCCGCTACTTTTGCCATTGCACTCTAGTATGTGAGGTACTTCAACTATGATATGGAGGACACTCCCCCCCATCAGTTATTTGCAGCTTAGATACTTGCCACTACAACATCAGTGCCCACCTATGTCTGAGATGTCAACCTGCCTACTGACAAAGGAGGTATGCCTTTATTTACTTTCAGTTTCTAACATGTTAACAGAAAAAATTCAATCTCCTCTATGTTTTCGATTGAATATAAAGGTTTGGGTGGTGGTGAACGGGATGTTGTTCATTGGAATTGTGTTTTCTTTGCAATAATGTGGATCATTTAGATGGAAAGAAATGCCAGAATTTTTGAAGATAAAGAAGATGTGAAGGAAGGGATATGGGATCGAATTTATTTCCTTGCATCTTTTTGGTCCTCCGTTACAAAGGAGTTTGAAAGTATCCCCTTCTTTTTGGTATTACCTCAAGCTGAATGACATCATGTGGGAGATAATTTATCTCTTGATGGCTGTTTTGTTTTTGTTCTGTGCTCTTTTTATGCATGTATGAGGATTGGACTGCTTGTTCACCCTTGCTTGCACTTTTTTTAGTTCTTATCAATGAAAAGTTTGTTTCTTATCAAAAACAAAATGTCAATGCAGTTGGAACGTACTATAAATTTATTATTTTCTACTTCATTTTACTTGTTATTTTCCTCCACAAACTTGGCAGCAATACATAAGCAATACCTCCCAATATTTTTTTTTTTAATAAGAAACAAAATTTCATAAATAATTAAAGACACTAATTTCCGAGCAAAGGTGGACAAGAAGTCCATCCCTATTACAATGGTAACAAAAATTCAAAATCATCATCCATAAGATGGCATCCAACTCAATGGAAAAAAAAGAGGTTAGGAAAAAGGCCAGATCCCACAACTTCCTCTTTGTCTTCAAAAATTCTCGCATTTCTTTCTAACCAAATGACCCAAACGATTGCAAAGACTGCACAAAGCCAAAGAGTAACCCCTTTCCACTCCCACCCAAACCTTTGTACTCTATTGAGAACATTGATGAGATAGATTCTTGGGCCACCCAACAAAGCCCAACCAACACAAATAATTTATTTCATAAATATAATGTGATGGGACAATGGAACAACAAATGATCCACACTTTCACAACTTGCTCTACACATAACGCACCATTGTGGACATAGGTTAGTATGAGACTTCCGTGTTTGGAGCATGTCATAAGTATTGATCTTACTATGAGCAATCACTCATCCACAAACTTGCACTTTCAAGGGCACTTTAACTTCCAAATCTTCAATGTCAGGTGAAAAATAGGAGTTGAAGGATCATCAATCAAAGATTCAAAGAATGACTTACATGAGAAGGAACCCAATGGGCCATTTTGTCTAAAGAATCATTATTCAAAGTAATAGAATTAAGAAATGAGAGCAATATCTCCCCGTATAATGTGTGTGCTCTGAAAACATGCCTAGCCTCCTTAGTTATGAAGTCCCACATAGCAAGAGATCATATAAGAATAAAATTGTCATTTTCGCTCTTTTACAATATTCATTAGAAGACAAGCATCCAAATTCTATCAACCATGCCCTGACTTTTACCCTTAATTCCTTATAAAAGAGAGAGGGCCCTTTTGTTGAGGATATATTAGGATACTATCTATCCAAACAACAAATATATGTTGGAAAATTGAGACAACCATATCTTCCCAAGTACTTCATATTACAAAGATAGCTGGGATTGGTAACAAACAAGATTATCCATTTGCAAAGGGAAAACACCTGTAGGCATCAAATAAGAATTAAACCCATAGTCCTAGTCAAATATATTTTAGCTGAATGCCTTGTGCCCAGGTGATCTTAGCTAAGTGCTTCAAGAATACACAAAATATAGATACTGAGAGGATGTACCTGTATTCCTCAACATACGAGGATGGAAGTTCTTCATCACTTGCTGGTCTCACTTCTGTACAAACCTGAAGCAATTTACCAAGTCATCATGTAAATATGGGAGAGTAAACCGGATAGCATATTTTTAATTACTCAAAGTACAAACACATATATTAAGAGATTTGGCATAGTTGATTCAGAATGAATATCAATGAAGCTTTGTGGATATCTATAGCTATTTCAGTAAGTGAAGGGATTGCTAGATTAAGATCAGAACTGAAAACTAGAACAATAATAGCCCAANGAGCAAAGGTGGACAAGAAGTCCATCCCTATTACAATGGTAACAAAAATTCAAAATCATCATCCATAAGATGGCATCCAACTCAATGGAAAAAAAAGAGGTTAGGAAAAAGGCCAGATCCCACAACTTCCTCTTTGTCTTCAAAAATTCTCGCATTTCTTTCTAACCAAATGACCCAAACGATTGCAAAGACTGCACAAAGCCAAAGAGTAACCCCTTTCCACTCCCACCCAAACCTTTGTACTCTATTGAGAACATTGATGAGATAGATTCTTGGGCCACCCAACAAAGCCCAACCAACACAAATAATTTATTTCATAAATATAATGTGATGGGACAATGGAACAACAAATGATCCACACTTTCACAACTTGCTCTACACATAACGCACCATTGTGGACATAGGTTAGTATGAGACTTCCGTGTTTGGAGCATGTCATAAGTATTGATCTTACTATGAGCAATCACTCATCCACAAACTTGCACTTTCAAGGGCACTTTAACTTCCAAATCTTCAATGTCAGGTGAAAAATAGGAGTTGAAGGATCATCAATCAAAGATTCAAAGAATGACTTACATGAGAAGGAACCCAATGGGCCATTTTGTCTAAAGAATCATTATTCAAAGTAATAGAATTAAGAAATGAGAGCAATATCTCCCCGTATAATGTGTGTGCTCTGAAAACATGCCTAGCCTCCTTAGTTATGAAGTCCCACATAGCAAGAGATCATATAAGAATAAAATTGTCATTTTCGCTCTTTTACAATATTCATTAGAAGACAAGCATCCAAATTCTATCAACCATGCCCTGACTTTTACCCTTAATTCCTTATAAAAGAGAGAGGGCCCTTTTGTTGAGGATATATTAGGATACTATCTATCCAAACAACAAATATATGTTGGAAAATTGAGACAACCATATCTTCCCAAGTACTTCATATTACAAAGATAGCTGGGATTGGTAACAAACAAGATTATCCATTTGCAAAGGGAAAACACCTGTAGGCATCAAATAAGAATTAAACCCATAGTCCTAGTCAAATATATTTTAGCTGAATGCCTTGTGCCCAGGTGATCTTAGCTAAGTGCTTCAAGAATACACAAAATATAGATACTGAGAGGATGTACCTGTATTCCTCAACATACGAGGATGGAAGTTCTTCATCACTTGCTGGTCTCACTTCTGTACAAACCTGAAGCAATTTACCAAGTCATCATGTAAATATGGGAGAGTAAACCGGATAGCATATTTTTAATTACTCAAAGTACAAACACATATATTAAGAGATTTGGCATAGTTGATTCAGAATGAATATCAATGAAGCTTTGTGGATATCTATAGCTATTTCAGTAAGTGAAGGGATTGCTAGATTAAGATCAGAACTGAAAACTAGAACAATAATAGCCCAAAAGAATAAACTTGATTTCAGGTCCCTTTGTTCATGAAGCTCGCATTCCATAAGTTCTGCAGTAGACGTAAAGCATGTCCCCCAACTCTTTGGCTTCAATAATATGAATCTAGTCTCACAACTTTGTGTAGAACCATATCTTCAGCCAGAAGATACTAGGTTTGTACTACCTTAAACTAGGATAGTTGTTGTTTTGCCCTTCCTTTAATATTTTCCTCTATGTAGACCAGGTTGTTCATATTCACGAATGTAAATCCATTGTTATTTGAATTTACTCGCGTCTCCTGTGTTTCTTGCAACTATAATTACATTATCAATCTTATGTGCTTTGACAATACACCTATTGTTTCTAAGACCCACCAAATTATATCTTTAAGCCATTTAAATTATATATTTGTAATTGACTAATTTGTGGAATCCATTGTAAATCACAACCTATTCCAACGTCATGATGCTACAACGATGAAAATCTGAAAGCATCATTGAAGGGAGGTAATCATGCATCAAAACAACATCAAAAGCACTCGATATGCACATTCATGTTTAAGACAAAGTAATGACCTAGAAATCTAAAATGATCCATTGGTTTAATAGACTTAAGAAGATTAGTGTTAAAATGGAATCGGTATCAATCCGTGCATAGATCCTAGGTGATTTTCATAGAAAAAATTTTCCAAACCGTTTTGTATTTCGAAAACATAGATAGAGTCATTATCAGACCTCTCTTGAGCAACGCCCTTTAGAGTTCAAGAGGACAAGTCTTTTGCTCGATTTTAAGGTTAAAAAACCAGTATAGGGACTGCTTTATACTCGCTAGTCTCCCCTAGAGCGATCTCTTTATAACTTAGGAAAGAAAAGGGAAAAGGCCAAATGGAGGAGGAGCAAGGACCACCCTCGAGACCACTCACAGGTCGCTCGAGCCGTCTACTTTTCCCTAGGTCGATTTGAAATTTGTTTTTCATTCCCGAGACCAGCAAGTGATTGACTATCAAATTGAAGACCCGAAAGTGTAATCGAAGGAAGGAGATTAAGTGTTAAAACAACATCATTCAAACTTCGTATACACCCTCATGCTTAGGACAAAAGTAATGACATAAACACCTAAGATGAACCCATAGTTAATTTTACTTAGGATGATTAGGATTAAATGGAATTGGAAACAATCCATGTATGGATTCTATCTATTTTGAAATGAAAAAGATTTTCTAAATTATTTGGTGTTTTCAAAACATAATTTGAATCATTAACAGACCCCTCTTGAGCAAGGCTGCAAGAGGACAAGTTTTTTTACTCAATTTTAAGCTTAAAAAACTAGTATAGACCACCCTATGCTCCCTAGCCTTCACTAGTGCGGTTTCTGACTTAGGAAAGAAAATGAGAAAAGGCCATGGAGGGGGAACACAGCTTGCTCTATAAGCTTGAACAAGTGGTCCCTTGACCTCGCTCGAGCGGTCTCATGGTCGCTTGAGCGGTCTACTCTCTCAATCAGTATTGGAACCTTGTTTTTATTCCAGTTAAAACAGTCCTCCCACCGATCGAGCGGTCGTTCGCAAATCTAAATCTTCTTGTTAACCAAGACTATCCTTATTTTGGACCTATAGATAAGAAGATCCTTTTTCACAACTAAGTTAAACCTCTTGTGAGATTTGTAAGAGAGAAAAACTATTTTCTACCTTCAGAACTTCCACCACTAACCTAGATCGCTAAAATCCAACGCTACCACTAGAGATTCTACCCAAACTCACAAATTGGAATTGAAGATCTTGATAGTTTGAAAAACTCATTGATGTGTGCATAACGAGAATCGTTGGCATGCCTATGATTGTTGGAGGCCTAGACAAACCATGCGACGGGGAGTCTAGGTGAAGTTATGCAAGATGTCGAACAAGGAGCTTCAGCAGAGAGACATACAAAGTAAAGGAACATCTAGTCAAGGTATGGTTGAGGTATAAGACTCAAATACTTGTATGTTGACTTTATGAGTAGTAAATTAGGTTTTAGTGAACCCCTAGTGATTCCTATAATTTTTCTCGAGGAAAGTGTTACACGTCAACAAATCGCTTATGTTCATATTGTTTACATTTACACTTTTGATTGTTTACACACACGCACTATGTGTTTTTATGAATGATTGATTGACATCCTTTCATCCATAGTTACGTTTTGGGTTTGAATTTTGGGATCGTTGTGAGATTGATTGTTCTAGTGAATTAATTTAAAATTAATTAACATCAATCGTCATGGTTAAGTTGAGTTGTAATGACTAAAAAAGTTCTCATCATTAATTGATATATTTGATTAAGAAAAGGTAATTGATGTCGAACTAGGTTTTAATCAGTAATCAATTAAGCTAAAATTAAAAAACCTATTCACCCCTCCTCTAAGTAGTGTCGTGCACTCCACGTGTATAATCGTGACGGAAGATCCTCATAGTTTCTCTCCCTCTCGGAACAACAATTAGTATCAGAGCGTGGTTGTCCTAAGTTGCAAATACTTCAAGGCTAGCAATGTAGAGTCTTCAAGGTTGAAAGGAAAGCCTAGTAAACCTACTACTATAAAGGAGGGAAAAAATAAAGGGGGAAGAAACTCTGGACACGAGGTTGAGAGAAAAGACAAGACTTTCAATGCTTTGTGTGTCAAGGATTTGGACATATTACTTCAGAATGCCCAAATCAGTTTAAGAAAGCTTGGCCCAAGGAAAAGAGGAGAGCTATGAAGGCCAATTGGAGCAACAGTGAAAGTGAGTCCACATCGAGTGATGACTCTTCTTCTCAAGTTGATGAAGAGAATTTCACAGCCTTTATAGGTTCATTCTCCTCTCCCCTAGAGAAACTTCGACTAGCAATGTTAAAGCAAGTCCTACCACAAAAGTAGAAGACTTGGAAGAAGGAATCCCCACATATGTTGAGGATGAAGAATGTGTTGAGATATACATGATGCATATGACCAATTGTATGTATAATTCCTCAAACAACTAGAGAAAATGTTTAACTTAAGTGGTCGGGTCAACTCGAGTGAAGAAGATAAAAAAACATTTCATGTAAAATTGATTAAGCCCAAAACTCAAATATGTGGGCTTGAGGAAGAGAAAAAATCTCTCCTCAATCGAGTGAGCTTTCATGAGAAAGAGTGTGATGGAATCCATAAGATGCTCAAGGAAATGCAAATTCAAAGACGTGAAATACAATTGGCTTTCCATCAAGACAAAGATCCATATAAAATCTTGTATTATTGTATTTTGAGTCTTATTTTAAATTAGTTTGAGTCAATTTGCTAGTATTAGTATTTTATATATCCTTTTAATAGTTTTTAGACACAGGCCATTTTTGTAATTTCTAGAATGGGTCAAAATCTAACCCGTGGGTCATCTTTTGGGTTAAACTCTAGTATTGGATATACTAGAATTTAAAATTCTAGTTCTAGTTTGTTTGAGTTTACTAATTTTTAGTGATATAGAGCTTTTAGGATCCTAGAGACTTTAATAGTGATATTTCAATAAAGATATAAAGACATATTTCAAAAATTTTAGAAATTATATGTTTATTGAGTTATGTGATGCAATTCTAACCCATAGAGGGATGTTTGTTTCAAGTATTATATAAGTCTGGTATTGGAAATGTATTTCTTACATTTCTAATACCAATGGATATTAGTACTGGAAATAAAAATTATTTCAATCTCATCCTAAGTTTGTTTATTCAATAGGTACTATGGTGGATCCCACAAATAACCATCTATTCTATCACATCTTATATAACAAATATATCATTTTATCCTAAATATCATCCATTCCATTCAAAATAATTTTTTTTTAAAAAAAAAACTGGTCACACTGTTCGCTTAAACATAATACGAGGAAAAAATTCAAAATATTTTTAAAAATAAAAAATAAAAAAAACTGGTAACACCGTACATTTAAACATGATACAAGAAAAAAATTCAAAATAATTTTAAAAAAACAAAAAAAAAAAAAATTGTTAACACCGTACGCTTAAGCATAATATAAGGAAAAATTTTAAATAATTTTAAAAAAATTGTTAACACCGTACGCTTAAACATAATACAAGAAAAAAATTCAAAATAATTTTTTAACAAAAAATAAAAAAAAAAAACCGGTGACATCGCACGCTTAAATATAATATAAGAAAAAAATTCAAAATAAATTTTTTATATGTGAACTCTTCACATAGGAGGGCATTTGTGTCATTTTATTCTCTTATACCATCCTTTCATTTGTACCGAGAAGATAATACCACCTGGTAGGTGGTATTCATTAATACCATATAAAATGTATTTAAGTCACTGTTCA